CTTATTCTACTGAGCTATCTTCCCAGGCCCAGTTTCAGCTATTTAAAATCATGTCTAGAAGCCTTCAGAAGAGGCATCCAATTTCCAATAGGAAAGATCTATCTTCATATATAGCAGTACCTTTCTTATCAAAAACACATACCAATACTTCCAGCAGATGCCCAAAATGGTAGATATTACTAAAGTCACACATAACGTATTTTCTTTTCTGTGTATACATACCTATGATAAAAGAGACTTTATAAATTAGCCATAGTAAGATATTAACAATAAATAATAATAAATTAGAGCAGTTGTGACAGAATAGCATGATAAATGATGAAAAGAGCTATAAGAGTCAAACTAATGCAAAGGAATAGCTAAATAAATGTGGGTTCCCTTCCCCATCCTGGAACTATGATATGGGGTTTTCCTCCCAGCAATTAAAGAGCAGCAAGGTTCAACCAAAATCTTAACATTTTTTTGGTCCTAATGTTGTAAGCTTGTTTTACTTATTTGAACATAATCTAAAAACAACGTTTATTTTTATTTTTTTCAGTTTTTACAAACATTGTTTATTTTAATGAAGCTGGTACACACATGTCCATTTGAACCCCATATCCCAGACCAAAAAGCACAAACAAAATCAAAAGGAGCAGTGTTCTGTTATACATACATCTGTGTGAATAACTTTATTAATTTTGAATGAAAATTAACTTTTCTGGGATCTTCTGATGAGATTTTTTAAAATCTTAAAACTGTTTTCTCTTCAGTGAAGCTACCCTTGGAGTTGATCAATCTCTCACCATGTCTGTCATCTGGACACGAAAGCTCATCTTCCTCTTCTTTTTGGTCCAGACCCTCAGATTTTAAGCTTCAAGTTAAGGAAAGGTCATTTTTCCACAGTTTGGATCTCTGAAAAAAATCCACCTCCCACTGAAATTTATAGTCCAGGAGTGAAACAATCACAAGCTCAAACTTCAGGGCCAGCTGAAAAGCCATGAACTTCAGGGCCACCAAGAACAATTGCATGACACGACTTTATGATGACAAGCCTGAAAATGCACAGTCCTGAAATCTGCGGCCTCTCTGTGCACACAGGTAATTTTTAAAAAGCAGAAGACAATGTGAGGAAAACTGAGGTTTGATCACCAAAAAATCAGCACGATGAAAACCATGAATAATGAGCACTAGAATTCAAATTACTGAATGTTTTAAAGAGATGGGATGCCAGTTTTCATTTTCATTTTGAACACCACATTACAAAAGAACTATTTTTAAAAAAATAAAAAAGGATTGAGGGAAAAGAAAAAGAATAAAAAGAATATCTAAACCTTTGAATGACCCCCCGTTTGTTCCTGATAAACTTCAATCACATCTTCTTCCTCCATTCCCAATTCTTTTGGAGTATGATTATCAGCAATTCTCTGACCTTCAAAGAGAAACCTGAGTGAATTCATTGGAATGCCCTGTTTTTGACAGTATGATTCTTTGAGTTTCTTGAGATGTGTTCTCATTTTCACTTTGAAATGAGTCTCACTGCTATCCTGTCCAATGACTTGAGTTTAATGTATTCGCCTTCCTTCTTATCCGCCAAGTCCTCAGTTGAAGGTTTTTGCCTCCTGATCAGACATGGCGATGGTGGCTTCCCCTGGGTCTCTGCACAGCAGCAGCATCCGGGCTGCAAAAACCTCTCTTGCTCTCGCGTTTACAATCCCATCTACCAACCTCACAGCACAACACTCTAAAAGCAATATTTATGAAGGTAATTCATAGCCTATAAGACATAGGACAAATGTATGCATTTTTATTGAAGATTATTAGATGATGGCTCAGAAGATCATTAACCTAAAATCTGCATCACTTAACTAAAGACTCATGGCAGTCCAGACATGAAAAATCAATTTTATTTTAATGTACATAAAATATTTAAAAACTGAAGGCAGTCAGTTAAATACTATCCATTTCTAGGAATTAAACCCAGATCCTTTGTACTCAGCAGTATCTCCAGCCTTCTTTTATTTTTTGTTTTGAGATAGGGTGTTGCTAAATTGCCAAGTATGGGCTAAAATTTATGATCCCTGAGATTATATGTGTGCACTGCTGTGCCTGACTAAATAAATTTTTCATGCAAAAAAAGCATAAATGGTTTTAGGAAATTATTTCTTTAAGGCAAATGATCTTGCAATTATTGGCTACATGCTCTGAAGAAATTCAAGTGGTACTGATAGTAGAATAAGAGATATTTTATCCCAAAAGAAAATATTTCCCCCAGCCCAGGTGAGCATGGGTAAGACCCTTTTCTCCCCCTTGGAACTCCCCCTACCACTCCACAGCACCGCCCCCACTCCACTCACCCAGTAGTAATTTCTGTGGCATTCCTGGAACCCCCAGATCCAGTCTTAGCCCAGGCCAAGTGAGTGTGTGGGAGAGGTGCCTCTCCCCCCTACTCCACCTTGTCCCCTCCAGACTCAGCTCAGGCCTGGCATACAGGCCTGGGGTGAAACCCTGCAGCTGCAAGCCCTGCAGAGAGTGTAGGGAACAGAACCACAAAGCTAGTCCAAG